AAGTTCTCAGGAACTTATTCTGAAGAAGTTCCTGAGAACTTATTCTGAAAAAAAATAAGTTCCTGAAAAAAATTAAGGCTGTTCAAAGATCAAGCAATTGAACAGCAAAGTGATAAATAACCTTTGCCTCTCCATTTTTTCCATTACCAACCTTGTACCTGTCATTATTCTCCCTTCTTTCATTTCAAAATGCACTCTTGTGAACACACCCTACATTTATCGCTTGTCTCCATATAGTTTTAGTTAATGTTTCATGAGGATATCTATTAGTGGATTTTGTGTTTCTGACTGCAGGTTTACCCTCATGCTTTGAATCGGTGTGTAAAGAGAAAAATAAGGCATGAGAGAAGTCACTGGAGATGAGCAAGCAAAACACAGAGAAGACCCACAAGTTGTTTTCCAAGGTCTGTCAGCATTTGTTATAAGCCTCAGTTCTGACAAGCAGAATTTAATCAGAGTTTTTCCCCTTGAAATGAGAGAACTAGTAGTCAACATTGTTCCAAAAGTGCTTCTTAGAATGTATATGTACATGTATTTTATACATATATATCATCTATATTACATATGATATATGCTGTGTGTTAAGGAAATGTGACATGTCATATAATCTATCAATAGTAAAATTAGATAGTTATTCAAATCATTTCTTCAGTAGAGACATGAGAAATATAATAAGCATCCATCACTTTAGCTCACAAGTGATCATTTGAGAGAATACATCATGATTTATGATGCTATCTCAGAGGCAGGTGGCTTCTAGCTGAGCCACCTGAGGAGGCTGAGATCTGAGGATCACAGTTCAAAGCCAGCCCAGGCAGGAAAGTCGGTGAGACTCTTCTCCACTAAAACTATCAAAAAATCTGGAGGTAGAGCTGGTAGAACACTAGCCTTGAGAAAAAAAAAGCTCAAGGACCAAAAAAGAAATCTCAAGGACAGAACCCAGCCACTAAGTTCAAGCCCCAGGACCAGCAGACAAGAAAAAGTGGTATCTCAACAACCAGAGAGGCTTGAATATGGTCTGTGGTAACAGCACCATGGCTATGTAGGAGAATATCTTTTTCTTTATAAGACACATGCTAACATATTTAGTAGAAGCTAGTGGATATCCACAAATTATTCCCAAATAGTTTAGGGGGGAAAATATGGGTCCAGAGAAAGAAAAAAATGCGGAAATGCTAACAACGAATCTAATGAAAAGGTTCATTTTACTATTCTTGCCACTTTACTGAAGATTTAAAATATCTGTGTGTGTGTTCACACGTGTGCACGTGCACGTGCGCAGGTTCCTCTCCCCCGCCCCATGCACAGGTCCTGGGGCTTGAATTCAGGGCCTGGGCACTGTCTCTGACCTTCTTTTGCTCAAGGCTAGTGCTATACCACTTGAGCCACAAGTTTCATTTCAGCTTAAGAGTCTCATGGGCTTTCCTGCCCAGGCTGGCTTTGAACCACGATCCTCAGATCTCAGCTTCGTGAGTAGCTAGGATTACAGGAATAAGCAACCAGTGTCCACTGTTTAAAATATTTTTAAAAGATGTTAAGGATTCCAGAAAATGGAAATGTGGCTTTTGTTGTTGTTGTTGTTGTTGTTGGCAGTAGTGACAGTAATGTTTGTTTTGCTTCTGTTTTTCTTTTTAGAGGAGACAAAGGGGGACTGCAGAAAGGGAGGTAGGAAGCATGAATAAAGTCAGTCATGCTATTCAATATACACTATGTGAAAAATGAACTATGTAACTTGTGGGCAGGAAAGGGAAAGGGAAATTGGGAGAGAGTAAAGGAAGGGGTTACACTGTCCGAGAAAGAAATGTACTCCTTACCTGACTTATGAAATAGTAACCTCTCTGTACATCACCTTAATAATAACAATAAAATTATACTTTAAAAAGCCTTATTACAAAGAGACTTATAAGAGAACAAACAAACAGATTAAGTCCTTCAAAAACAAACACTAAAAACTTTTAGAAACATTACAGTGAAGGGTTTTAAGATCTAGTCAAATAGCGGCAATTCTGTATTCCAAATAAAATCCTTAGTTTAAAAAAAAAAGATGTTAAGGGAAAAAATATGCTATGATTTTCACAAAAGCCTTCTTTATTCCATGAGAACAAATTCAACATGGAAAAACAATAGACATTTTCTAAAATCTTTATTTAAATGCATTGCTGGGCTAGGAAGGTGGCTCAGTGGTAGAGCGCTTGCCTTGCATGCATGAGGCCCTGGGCTTGATTCCTCAGCACCACATAAGCAGAAAAACTTGGAAGTGGCCCTGTGGCTCAATTGGTAGAGTGCTAGCCTTGAGCTGAAGAGCTGAGGGACAGCGCCTGGCTTAACTTTCAGGTGGCTCACGCCATAATCCTAAATACTCAGGAAGCTGAGATCTGAGGATCATGGTTCAAAGTCAGCCCAGGCAAGAAAGTCCATGAGACTATCATTAGCTCCAATAAACCACTAGAAAACCGGCAGTGGCACTGTGGCTCAAGTGGTAGAGCACTTGCCTTGAGCTGAAGAGCTGAGGAACAGCACCCAGGCCCAGAGTTCAAGCCCCACGGCCAACAAAAAAATAAAAAATCACAATGCCTGTCATAACTCCAACCAGTGAGTTAATACATAGTGTACACTGGAGCATACCAGAGATAAATATAGTGTAATAAAATAACAACACTTGCAAGACAGCAAAGACACATGGAATGAGAAATGCTCAGGACTGGTGGGAAGCTTTAAAGGAAGTCTATAAGATTTTACATTTGTTCTACAACGGAAATAGGTCCTAGAATTTTAGAGCTAGAAAAACATCCAGGAGAAATATTGTCTGATATTTCAAGCCTGAATTTGAAGGTGATATAATGCTGGCCAGAGAAAATGACACATGTGGAAATGTACATGTGTTTAAAAGCTGTTAAGTGCTATTGAAGTCTATCTGGAAGCTCTCTCTGTGAGTTACAATCAGCATTAATGATCAATGGCCCCTGGAAATGTCCTAGTTAGTCCATGAAATGCTTTCCAGTAGAAATCAATTTTGTCTCTAATTTTAAATCCTGGCAGTTACAAAAAGTTTCAAGTATTTCTAATTGTCTAAGAAGATGACAACTGTTTTTTACAACTTGGTAGAAATATATATTTCTATATATATATATATATATATATATATATACACATGTGTATGTCTGTGTATGTGCATTTTTGTGTGTGCATATGTATATATTATTCTGGTACAGACTGAATAGACACACACATACACATATGGATGAGAAGCAAAAAGTCATGGGAACAGTAACGAAAAAGTTACAAAAAAAGACCATGTCACTCAGTAAACTTGCTTTGCCAAGTAAAAGCACAAATTATCATGTATCTTCTTCCCACTTCTTAAGCCTGCTTCTGAAGCAACACGTTTTTATTCATTCATGTATTCAAATATTGGAACACTTAGCACATACATGACTCAGAAGGACTTCAAGAACCATTCTGTGCTGGGTTTTTTTTTTTTTGGGTCCGGTCGTGGGGCCTGAACTCTGGGCCTGAGCGCTGTCCCTCAGCTCTTCAGCTCAAGGCTAGCACTCTACCACTTGAGCTACAGCGCCACTTCCAGCTTTTTTTTTTTCTGCTCATGTGGTGCTGAGGAATCGAACCCAGGGCCTCAGGCATGCAAGGCAAGCGTTCTACCACTGAGCCACCTTCCCAGCCCCTGTGCTGGGTTTTTTTTTGCACCCAACATTGGGCTTGAACTCAGGGCCTGAGTACTGTTCCTGAGCTTTTGTGCTCAAGACTAGTGCTTTGCCACTTGAGCCACATCTCCACTTCCAGATTTTGTGGCAGATTAATTAGAGATAAGAGTCTCATGAACTTTCCTGCCCGGGCTGGATTTGAATCATGATCTTCAGATCTTAGCCCCCTTAATAGCAAGGATTACAGGCATAGCCACCAGAGCACAGACCATACTGTGGTTTTAAGTCATACAATATTGTCCTTCTGTGACAGCAATTTTTTCTAAATATGAAGATTTTTTCAAGCTGAAATATGAAGCTACACTGAAAATAGTATTCCATAGAAAAGCTTTCTGAAATATGAACTGTGGGTAAATAATCATAATTCTACACTGAAGGGAAAATATAATCTAAGGGAGAAAAAACATTCAGGCTTACTCTTGGGACTCTGAACCATTAAGCAACTGTTGAGATGGCCCTTTATTGGATCTTGACCTTAATTAAGAGGTTCATGAAGTCTTCTGCTTGGGTTTCAAAAACCATTAATAATTAGCCTTAAATGGCAAACAAAAGGAAAATTTCATAATCTGGGTGGTGTGTCTGTAGAGACTATAAAAGTCGCATGATTCTTCTCAGCTCTTCATGCACTTACTGGGTCCTTCTAAGTGGCTCCACTGTCGGGTGACCAGGTCAGTGTGATCTTAGTACCACCTAGAGCTTCTTTTGCTTGCAATAATACTTTGCTTCCTTTTAGAATGGAATGACAGCTCAATGATCTCGAGAGAAAGTGAGCTGGTGCTATCTAAAGATATCACCAGGGAAACTTAAGATGCCAGCAGCTGGGGTCAGGTACTCCTCAAGATTACAGCCTACAGAGTATAGACCATGTAAATGAAAAAGTGCATGCTGTTACTTTGCTAAGCAAAACATTTGTCTCTGGGGACTATTTTCTCACAGATGTACTCTGAGTAGACATTGAATTAGATGACGATGATGATGATGGTGATGGTGGGGTCTATGTGTGCTGCTAGGAATAGAACCCATGGCCTTGTGCATACTGGGTATTGTGCTACACCTCCAGAGGCACAATAATTGCTTTCAAAGAGTGTTGATAAGTACTAGTGATGTTCCCATTATGATCCTCTCTTCTCCTTCCCTCTCTTCTCCTTCCCTCTCTTATCCTTATTCTCCTCTAACCTTTGTCCAAACAGTGCCTAATAGTACTAAAATCTTGACCACACTCAGCATACAACTCTGAGCTTTTCAGTAAGTTCCTTTTCTTCCCAAATGTACAGAACACAAGAATGAGTGCTAAAAAGTCTCCTGAAGAACTAAAGAACATTTTCAAAAAATATGCAGCCAAAGAAGGTGATCCAGACCAGCTGTCAAAGGATGAGCTGAAGCTATTGATTCAGGCTGAATTCCCCAGTCTGCTCAAAGTAAGTACCCATCTGTACTACATGGAGAACTAGCTGCTGATGGTGGGAAGGGAGAAGAGGAGCTCTTGTAGGATCTAAGGGCTGACTCTGAGATGCTGACCAGAGATCTGTGGGTAGGGACAACCTTAAATAGATGAGGGATGAGGTGCCCTGTTGCTGATGTACTATGATGTCAGGTCAGTGCATAGAGTGAGTAAAGCAAGCTCCTATTTTCTCTTCTTGCTCCAAAAGTCCATTTAATATAGTAAATGGATTCCTCTAGCCACTTCTTGGCTAGAGAATGTGTTAGATATTATACTAATAACCACACATACTACAACTGATTTTAGCCCAAAGGCCAAGAAGCAATAAAAAGGTACTTTTTAATTAAAAACAGACAAAACTTGGAGAAGTATTAATATTTTTAAAGCCTTTAAATTTTTTCCAAAAGGAAGAAAAGTAATCTACCAGGAAAGTGTACATAATCAATGGTAAGAGTGGTAAATTTTTCTGTATTTTGTGTATTTCCTATAAAAGGACAGACTATTATAATTTGGGGGGGGGGGAGTACAAAGACTAATGGCAAGCTCTGAAAGTCAGCTTATAGGTACCAAACAAATTTGCATAAGAATTGCTAAAGTTTTTATCTTGCCCATGTAATTGTTACCCCTCTGTACAGTATTTTCACAATAAAAATATAATTGCTAAAGTTTGACAGCTACACTATTTATACCATCACCTTCTATCAAAGACAAGACTGCCTATTTATAAACATATGAACAACTATCTTAGAGTTTAGTCCAAGTATCTTTGTAGGAATCCTAACAGTTAAAATAGATCTTGCCTATCTGTTGCATAAGAAACTGAATATAGGCCAGATGCCAGTGGCTCATGCCTGTAATCCTAACTACTAAGGAAGCTGAGATCTGAGAATCATGGTTCAAAGCCAGCCCAGGCAGGAAAGTCCATGAGACTCTTATCTCCAATAAATCACTCAGAAAAAGCCAGAAGTAGTGCTGTGGCTCAAGTGGTAGAGCACTAGCCTTGAGCAAAAGAAAATCAGGAACAGTGCCCAGACCCTGAGTTCAAGCCCTAGGATCAGCACCCCCAAAAAAAAAAAAAAGAAGATGGTAAATTTAACTATGTGTGTATATGTATATGTGTTTTGTTGCTGATGTTTTACTATCATTTTGAAACAAATATCATTACATAGCCCACTCAGTCTATAGCCCAGCTAGCCTTGAACTAATGATCTAATTGTCTCTGTCTCCCAAATGCTAGGATTATAGTGCATACCACCACACTTGGTAAATGTTCTACGGGCTGTATGTCTTGTTTTGTTGGGGTTTTTTTGTTTGATTTTGTATGCTGGTCCTGGGCTTGACTAAGGAACTAAGCACTGTCACTGAGCTTTTCTGTTAAGGCTACTGCTCTACCACTTGAGTCACAGCTCCACTTCCAGCTTCTTTTTGGTAATTTATTTGAGTTTATTATTTGGTAGTTTATTGGAGTTTCACAGACTTGCATGCTTGGCGTGGCTTCAAACCACAGTCCTCAGATCCCAGTCTTTAGCGTAGCTAAGATTATAGGCAAGAGCCACTGGCACCAGGCTTATATGGTTTTTAAATAAAATTTTATGTATGTTCAGATATAGATAATTTGAAGCAGATCTAAATGAAACTGTTATTTCCATAGGTTTCTTAAGTGCTATTTCGCCACAGACTGCTACTTAAAAAGGCCAAGTAGCAGCGTTAAAATTTGAGTTTCATGACAGAAACAAAAAATAAAAAGTCTGCTTCAGACACCACAGGAATAACAATCATTGAAAAGCCTATGATTTCAGATGACATTTCAAGCAGGGGCTCTCAAGCCTGGTCCCTGCCAAGCAGCATCAGTACAATGAGAGAAAACCTGTTGGAAATACAGATTCCCAGGCCTTCCCCACCTAGTGAGTTATCAGCTCTGGGTAGGGCTGGCCATCTGTGTTTACTAAGGTCAGTATGCTCGTGAAGGTGATCCTGACATGCTAAAGCATGTGAGCCAGCAACCAAAGTCATCTTGGATACCCTAGAGGAGAGCCACAGGCCAGAGTTTGAGAAAAGCTAGGGTGATGTCTCCATTACAAGGCTGTGCTCTAGAGTTCATGTTGGAACCTCAAGTCCTCTGCTAACTAGCTAGAAAGTTAGTGGCTTTCTCTGGGATTCAGTTTCCTCACCTACAAAGTAGATTTTGTTGGGATCTGGTAGCTCATAACAATAATCCTAGTTATTCGGGAAGTTGAGATCTGAGGATCACAGTCCACGCAGGAAAGTCCATGAGATTTTTTTTTTTTGCTTTGTTTTGTTTTGATTGCCAGTCCGGGGGCTTGAACTCAGGGCCTGGGCACTGTCCCAGAGCTTCTTTTGCTCTAGGCTAGCACTCTACCACTTGAGCCACAGTGCCACTTCTGGCTTTTTCTATTTATGTGATACTGAGGAATTGAACCCAGGGATTCATTCATGCTAGGCAAGCACTCTACCACTAAGCCCACATTCTCAGCTTTCCATTAGATTCTTTAAAAAAAAACACACATTTTTTTTGATCGGTCATGGGGCTTGAACCCTGGGCCTGGGCACTGTCCCTCAGTTCTTCAGTTCAAGGCGAGCACTCTACCACTTGAACCACAGTGCCACGTCCGGCTTTCTGCGTGGCTTATTGGAGATAAGAGTTTCATGGACTTTCCTGCCTGGGCTGGCTTTGAACTGTGATTCTCAGATATCAGCCTCCAAAGTAGCTAGGATTATAGGTGTGAGCCACGGGCACACGGCTTCCATTAGATTCTTATATTCAATTAACCTCCAAAGCAGGAAGTAGAGCTATGGCTCAAGTGGTAGAGTACCAGCCTTAAGCACATAAAAAGTGAAGGGATACCGCTCAAGTCCTGAGTTCAAGTTCTAGGATCAACACACACACACACACACAGAATCACCCTACGGGGTGGCTAGGTGGAGGGTACAGGCTACCCGAAAGGCTTCAGCTTCAACACAGTACAAGCCAGTGGGTGCTCATTGCCTGCTTCCACTAGCTATATACTAGCCATAGGCTTGAAACCCAAGACAAAGCAACTCCAAGGAAAACCCTGGGGCCGGAGTCCTCAGCTATTTGTGGTCTGTGGGTAGTCTGGTAAAAGCCCATGGACCCCTACGCTGAAAAAGGACAAAATCAAATTTAAAATATGCCAAAATTGTTGCAATGGGTCACTGCAACAATGAGATGTACAAGTCGTTATGTGGAAAACGAACTTTACAACTTTGGTGCAGGGGGGGGGGGGGGGGGGGGGGGGGGGACGGGGTGGGGAGCGGGGGGAGGATGGGAAGGGATGGGAAGGGGAAACAAAGGAGGAGGCTACAATGCTTGATAAGAAATGTACTCATTATCTTGCCCATGTAATTGTAACCCCTCTGTACAGTATTTTCACAATAAAAAATAAAAGATAAAGAATTCAAAAAACATATGCCAAAATTGGGTACCCATGGCTGCCACCTGTAATCCTAGCTACTTGGGAGGCTGAGATCTGAGGATCACAGTTCAAAGCCAGCCTAGGCAGGAAAATCTGTAAGATTCTTATCTCCAATTAGCCACCAAAGGAAGCCATAAGTGGAGCCCAAGTGGTAGAATTTTTGCTTTGAACAAAAAAGCCTAGGGATAGTATATAGCCCCTGAGTTCAAGCCCCAGGACTGGCACCAAAAAAAAGCCAAAATATTATTAAACAATACATGTGTAAGAGTGGAAAAAAGAAAGTACCTAGGTGTGTGACATGAACTGATACCACAATTAGCACCAGCTTTTCCACCTCTATCAGTAGCCTGTGCCTGGAAATTCACAAGACCTTCTTGGAATAAATGTTGCCATGCCCCATATCCCAGAATTGTGTAGGGTTATCTAATTCCATTTCATTTCTCCCTCATCCTTTTGTCTAAAACCAGGTTGTAAGCAGCCTAGATGACCTCTTTAAAGAACTGGACAAGAATGGAGATGGAGAAGTTAGTTTTGAAGAATTCCAAGTGCTAGTCACAAAGATATCCCAGTGAAGAAAACAACATCCTAAGCCCTGGAAATCTTTCTGATGTGGAATTACTAACATCTCTGGTTGAATTCTTTGATTATAATGATCTGACTATGAGGTTCCAGTTATAGTTAATAAAGATATCCTTGGATTAAGTCTCCTTTTGCTGAGTACTGACTCATTATAACTTAATTTAAAAATAAGCCAAGTGCTGGTGGCTGGGTACTGATGGCTCACACCTTTAATCCTAGCTTCTCAGAAGGCTAAAATCTGAGAATAAAAGTTCGAAGCAAGACCAGGTAAGGAAGTCCATGAGATTATTATCTCCAATTAACCACTAGAAAACCAGAAGTGGAGCTGTGACTCTAAGTGGTAGAGCATTAGCCTTGAGTAGAAAAACTCAGGGATTGTGCCCAGGCCCTGAGTTCAAGCCCCAGGACCAGCACAAAATATTTAAAAGAATGGGACTTAGCATCTTTTTTTTTTGGGTCCAGTCATGGGGCCTGAACTCTGGGCCTGGGCACTGTCCCTCAGCTCTTCAGCTCAAGGCTAGCACTCTACCCTTGAGCCACAGCGCCATATCTGGCTTTTTTATTTTTGCTTATGTGGTGCTGAGGAATCGAACCCAGGGCCTCAGGCATGCAAGGCAAGCGCTCTACCACTGAGCCACCTTCCCAGCCCCTTAGCATCATCTTATATGGTCATATGTACATAGTTTTTTTTTTCCTTTTCTGCTTGTCTTAGACATATACTAGTTATTGCAAATAAGGAAAACCATGGGACCTATGTTTCTTTGGGCCTGGCTTACTTCATTCCATTCCTAACAAATGGGGCGGTGTCATTCTTTCTGATGGAGGCATAGAATTCCATTATATAGGGAAGAGACGCTGTGGCTCAAGTGGTAGAGTGCTAGTCTTGAGCTGAAGAGCTGAGGGAAAGCGCCCAGGCCCAGAGTTCAAGCCCCACGACTGACAAAAAAAAAACAGAATTCCATTATATATATATATACCACATTTTCTTGATCCATTCATCTACTGAGGGGCATCTGGGTTGGTGTGCTTATAAGGTAATATATGATTTTTTTTGTTTCTTTTGTATGTTCTTCCCCCATGGTATAACCCCTGTTTTCACTGTATTTGATTCCGGTGCCCTGTATCTTATATATACATTTTTCTAATTTGGGGAGGGGAAGGGAAATAACAAAATGCTGAAATAAGGATACAGGTTGACCCATTGTAACAATGAGATATACAAGACACTATGCTGAAAATGAACTTTACAACTTGGGGGGGAGGAGTGGGAGGAGGGGGAGGGAAGGATAGTAGGGGAAAAACAAAGGAGGGGGTAACAATGTTCGATAGGAAATGTACTCATTACCTTACTTATGTAACTGTAACCTCTCTGTACAGTATCTTTACAATAAAAATATATATTTAAAAATGGGACTTAGGAAGTAGCTGAGGGGTAAAGTGTTTGCCTAAGCTCATGGGGACCTGGATTTGATCACCAGCACTGCAAAACACAAAGATTTTTTAAGCCAGGAGCAGGTGGCTCAGGCCTATAATCATAGTTACTCAGGAAGCTGAGATCTGAGGATCAGAGTTCAAAGCCAGCCTGGGCAGGAAATGAGACTCTTATCCCTAATTAACCAGCAAAAAGTGAAAGCGAAGTTGTGGCTTAAGTGGTAAAGCACTAGCCTTGAGCAAAAAAACAGAGTACAGTGAGTTCAAGCATGTCAGTACACACACACACACACAGGTTTAAAGAAATAAGAGGCCAAGAATTGCTCTATGACCTTGCCCCAAGACCACAGTGGAAGGAAGACTGAAGCAAGTTTACTTTATCCACTTTTCCAGGAGAATAACTATGTTCCTTGCTCTCCCTCAACTACTGGTTCCTGGCATCACTTCCAATTCCAACTTTTTTGTGTAGGCAGGTCCTAGGGCTTGAGCCTGAGCACTGTCTCTGAGCTTTTGTACTCAAGGCTAATGCCTTACCACTTGAGCCACAGCTCCACTTCCAGTTTTTCTGTGTTGGTTAATCGGAGAAGAGTCTCCTGCCCAGGCTGGCTTTAAACTGCAATCCTCAGACCTCAGCTTCCTGAGTATCTAGGATTACAGGCGTTGAGCCACCAGCACTGAACTAACAACTCATTTTGCACTGTTCAATGCCTAGCAAGGAACATACTTCCAAAGCATACACTTGTCTTTAGGTCATCTCCCGGTACTCGCTGTGCTTTGTTAAATGAACAGCCTTTGAAGGAATAGAAGGAACACAAGGCCAAGAGGTGCCCTACTCATCACTGAAGGATAACCTCATATCTACTAGCGTTACACCATGGTTCCGGAAAACAACATTCTGAGTAATATTCTTCAATTATTTCTTTCTAATTCATGCTCTAAAAGCCAAATTGCCAAGCTTTAATTCTGCAGTTGACATTAGAAAACTATGGGACCACTGCCACTTCAAAATGGAGAAAATGGTAATAATGAATAGCTTTCAACTATACAAGCCCTCCCAAAGACTACACTAACCTTAGATGAGAATCACTGCTTACAAAGTAAGGTCTTTGACTCCAAAAGTTTCTTTAACCAAGTGAATTCAATAGTGTAAACTAGGCTAGGTACTGGAGGCTCATGCCTGTAATCCTTGCTACTCACAAGGCTGAAATCTGAGGATTGGGGTTCAAAGCCAGCCTGGAGCAGGGAAGTCAGTAAGACTCTCATCTTCAATTAAGGACCAAAATAAAAAGCTGGAAATGGAGCTGTGGCTCAAGTGGTAGAGTGCTAGCCTTGAACATAAAAAGCTCAGAGACAAGCACCCAACCCCTGAATTCAAGCCCTAAGACTGACATCCACAAAAATAGTAAGCTGTATATATCAGTCAACTTGGCTGCTATCATTTCCCCAGTAGCTTCAAGGCCCTCTAAAGTTGGGACCAGAGCACATGATCATATACTTACCCAGTCTACCCAAGTTCAAGTACATGGCTATCTCATAGTCCACAGGATAGACTGGGCCAAGCACATCTCTGGGGAGTTCAATCTCACAAGATAGGAAAGGTCAGGTTAGTGTAAGGATCTTATGCCCAGATGGGACTAAAGTAGCCAAATTTCATCAGTCCCAAGATACATAGGTGACAGTGACTTAAAGTATAGACAACAATTTGCATATGTACTTAAAAAGTAAATTCTCGTAACATAGGCTCATAATCCCAGCAATAAGAAACTAAGGCAGGGGCTGGGAATGTGGCTTAGTGGTAGAATCTTTGCCTAGCATGCATGAAGCCCTCGGTTTGATTCCTCAGTACCATATAAACAGAAAAGGCTGGAAATGGTGCTGTGGCTCAAGTGGTAGAGTGCTAGTCTTGAGCAAAAGAAGCTCAGAGACAGTACCCAGGCCCTGAGTTCAAGCCCCAGGACTGACCCCAAAAAAAAGAAAAAGAAAAAGAAACTAAGGCAGGAGAATCAAGGTTTAAGACAGTCTAAGCTACAAAGACCTTGTCTAAAAAAAAAAAAAAAGCCAGGCATCAATGGCTACCCTCTGTAATCCTAGCAATGCAAGGAGCTGAGATCTGAGAATCACCATTTGAATCCGACTCAGGCAGGGAAGTTAGTAAGACTCTTATATCTAATTAGCCACCAAAAAGCCAGAAATAGAGCTGTGGCTCAAGTGGCGCAGCACTAGTCATGAGCAGAAAAAGCTCAGGGACAGTGCCCAAGCCCTAAGTGCAAGCCCTAGGACTGGCACAAAAAAAAATTCTACAAGTACACACTAAAAACTAATATATTAGGAGAGACTGGATAGATTCACACAGGGATAAGAGAGCTACTTTTCACTTAATATCATACTGACATTTTGATTTTTGGAACCATATGAAATATGTGTCTTATGAAAAAGAATAATGAGCTGAGCACCAGTGGGTCACACATATAATCCTAGCTACTTCAGAGGCTGAGATCTGAGGATCACAGTTCAAAGCCAGCCTAGGCAGGAAAGGCTGTGAGACTCTTGTCTTCAATTAACCAGAAAAATGCTGGAGAACTTCTGAGAAGTAATATCATTCAAAGGGTTAAGATAAGGTTATGGATTGTAAAACCTAACTGACTTCCCAACAGGTAGGATGAATTCATGCTCCTATAGTACATGAGCTGGTCTCACCTAAACAACTTTAATAGCCAGGTTAGTGTACATGTTTTATTTGCTGGCCTTTTATTTCCTTTTTATGGTGCTGGGGATTGAACCCAGGGCTTTTGAGCATGGTAGTCAAAAGTCCTACAACTGAGCTATATCCCCAATCTGTTGACTAGTGTCAATGAGAACTTATTATAATGTTACCATTAGGTTTGTTTTCATTTTTTAAAATTTATTCTATTGCAAAGATGCTGTACAGGAGGTTACAGTTACATGAGTAAGGTAATGAGTACATTTTTAGTCGAACATTGTTACCTCCTCCCTTGTCATTCTCCCACTATCCCTTCCCTCTCCCACTCCTCCCCTCCCCCAAGTTCTAAAGCTCATTTCCGACATAGTGTCTTATGAGTATCATTGCAATGGGTCATCCTTTTCCTTTCAGCATTTTGTCATTCCCCTTCCCCTCCCCAAATCAGATAGATGTATAGCTCAATAGCTATATACATATAACCATACAAAATGATGCTAATTGAAATGAACTCCAAGACTTGGAAACAACAGATTTTTTTTTGGTTGTTGACCTTATTGTCACCAATGTATTATAACTAGTTCTTCCTTATTTTTTTCATTTTTTTTCCATTGGTTTATCCCTGGCAATCATTGTCTTTGATTCTGGTACCCTCCATCTTATATGTACTGGTTGGTAAAAGATAGTTTTTCCCTTTTTTCCCAAGAACTAGTCTTTCCTTGTTTTGTGATGAGACTGTAAACAGCAGGAATGAATATGATGGACCAACTACTAGCATCTCTGCTGAGCATCTTTTTGTACAATCAATATATCATGTTAATTGATTTAATTCCTGAGATAAGCACACTATGCAGTCCTGATTATTTTAGATTTTTTTTTTTGTCCAGTC